GAAGCTGTGCCGGAAGAATGGTCACCAATCATAACCGAATAGGTTCTATTGGTAAGATAGGACTCAAACCATCTTAGCACCTCCCCTCCCAGACCGAAAAGGTGCTGGAGTTTTAAAAGTAAAATCGAGTGGTCCACTGTGTCAAAGGCCGCAGATAGGTCCAGCAAAGCTAAAATGACTGGGCGTCCCGCATCCAGGGCTAACGCAACATCATTATGTACCTTGAGTATAGCAGACTCAGTACTGTGTCGGGCCCTGAACCCAGACTGAAATTTATCACCCAAATCTAAAGATTTTAAGTGAGTTTGCAGCTGAGTAAGCACCAACTTCTCCATAACTTTAGCAAGGAAAGGGAGTAGGGATATTGGCCGAAAATTTCCTAATACCGTAGCGTCAAGGTTGGGCTTTTTAAGTAATGGTCTAACAACCGCATGCTTAAGGGTCGAAGGGACCGAGCCAGAACTCAAGCATGAGTTAACAAAGTTGACTAGCCCAGGGCCAATAATATCAATAACTTCTTTAAAAATATTCCCCGGAAGGGGATCAAGCAGAGAAGCAGCGGGTTTGAGCTGAAGCACACATTTTTTAAGTTGTGAGAGGGACACCTGAGCAAACGAGGTGAAGGTATCACCGGGGTGCAACAGTAGCTAATGGTGCTAACTCAACAACCATGCTAAATCGTTAACATATGAAATGGCTCTTTGTGTTTGTCTCTTTGTCCTGATGAGAATTTCATGGTCTTCATTTGCATATGTGTTTTTTTTTTCATTGTTTACTGGATCATTGTTTATTTACTGAGGCTCAGTGATTTACATGATGCTTGAGCCTCAGGCTCAGAGTCTCTGTGTGTGTGGTCTTTTGTATTTTATTCTGTTTTACTGCCCTTTTTTATTTCATAAAAATAACTCTTGAAGCACAGGATATTTTCTCAAAGTGAGAACATTTTTGGAAGGTGAAGCTATTTTGTAAGTACAGATGTTTTTGGAAGATGGAAGGGAGATGGCATGTTTGGAAAGCGAAGACATTTTGAAAGGTTGGACACTGTGTTTTTAAATCAGGGTGTTCTTGTAATGTTGAGATGTAATGTTGAAAAGTGAGAACACTGTGAGTAGTTAAGTAGTTAGTGAGTGGTTAAGGCGTAATGGAGCAATGGGAAATCCTTAAAGAAACTTAAAAACCAGAGACCTGTGCACAGTTGAACACTGATTTTTGTAGAGTTTAACACGTATCCTTTCCCCGCTCTAACAAAGACCACAGACCCCGCCCCCCGGGACATGAGACAAACTAAAACAAAACTAACACACTAAACGCTCAAAGTACAAATCAAACAAATTTTTCCTGGAGGTCGCTTTTGTGGTTTCGTTAGATGCGGTCAGGCTGATGTGTGTACAAGTGGTTTTCAATATGTTATTTGATGATATTAAAAAGGGCTGTAATTTGAATGATTTGGCAGCTTTGATTGGCGCCCTGATATGTAACTCAAATACTCGGTGGCAGAATCTGGTTGCAAAATTCCAAGATGGCCACTGCCGTATTCACCGCATTTTGGTTTCACTTTTACATAGTGAATAAAATAGAAGTGGTGATGTGTCATCTGTCTTTATATATAGTCTAATCCTCAACAATTACAGCTGTAGTTATGCCAAGGCTGGGTGATTCTAGTCCTGTTTGTTTATATTCCTTACCTACTTGCTGGTACAGCAGCAACAATTTTAATTCATGAAACAACCACATTAGTTGGACTGTGTTCGTCTTTCCTCCTTGTTTGATTTTGTTAACTGATGAGTTATTTAACCAGAGCTCTTAAAATCAGAATGTTGGGCCAGTGAGCCTCATAAATATGGACTCACTTCCCACAATGACTTGCACATGCCTGATTTGTTTACAGGCTGTGGTTTGGTTTGTAATTGGCCTGTATGACCGTGACTGAAGCAGAATGCAAAAATATAACTCAGATAATACGCAAAGTTGTCCCCATCATTCATAAACAATAGTATGGTGCCAGGTCGAAGCTGGTCCTTTTCACTGATGTTGAGAATATTGTCAAATTCAAAAGTTGCTGCATAATTAAAGAATATTTTTTAAGTTATTGAAAGATGCTCCACCTAATGTGTAGATCCACCAGACAAGACTTTGATTGTGAAATTGAGCGTGGTGACATGTCGTCTACTTCACAACAAAGTTCACAACAAGTTCAGCAGATCATCCCATTAACTTCTGCTTTTCTGCTCTAGTTCAGCTGCATGTTATGCCGCTATAGCAACATCACACACCTGCCTCCAGTATGTGTGTGAATGGCTGGGTAATCCTGTGTCTGCAGACTCAGACTCACTGCATGAAAAGACAGATTTTAACAGGCTGCCCGAGGCCTCTGTTCCTCTCCGTGAGCCTTCCTGTGTTTCCTAAATACTGCCGGTAAGAGAGATTTAGTCGCATGAGCACGCACACAGTCGTGCTCTGACTGGTCAGGTATTACTGCAGGGACATTAAATAGTCGTGTTTGCTAGAAAGAAACACTAAAATGAAAGATGAGGCTGAGGGGGCTTTATTTAGGGACAGAGTTCTGAGCACAGCAAAGCAAAACCTCCGTATATAACAAATTTAATTTTAAGGAAGATTCTGCTTTATTGTCTGTTACCCGGTAGATAATATTTAGAAATAATACGTGCACATGTTGTAAAGTGTACAGTACATACTGTACGTGGCTCTGACACCTTCACTGTGTTTAACTAAACACCTGAATACTGTGTATTAGATTTTAAAGGGCACTGTCAGCTTCATTTACACATTAGTCAACAAACATTAATGCATTATTTATTTTGTCAGGGGTTTGAAATGTTTTCACATGCAAACGATCACTGTCGATTACAATAGTTTCAGCCCACCTGAGGGAAAATCCACTGTTTTTGTCTTTTTAAACCCCATTATAGAAGCAGAATGACATCATTATTAAGAACACTTCTCCTCCTTGGTGTGTGTCTGCAGGTTGGTAGATGACCGATGTGTGGTCGAACCAGGTGCTGGAGATTTGGAGAATCCTCCAAAGAAGTTCAGAGGTAGGCCCAAGCCCGTGTTCATACCAGAACCATCAACATTTATGTTTCTGATCACCAGTCTGTTAAACAGCAGCTTGAACCAGTCTCGAGTACACAGGTAGTTGGCAGTGATAGATAACCATAGAACTAGTCTGTGTGGTGCTGCCTGTTTGCATTTCAGCGATCAGAGTCCGTAGTGTTCCTGTTTGTTTCATATTTGAAATTTCAAATGGGAGCAGCTGAAGATGCTGCAGTCGTCAAGCTGAGTGCAGCTCGGCTCGTGTCCCAGGTCAGGTCTCTGGTATACGAACCAGATGGACCCATGAAAACCTCGAGTGAGGTATAAATACTGTGTGTGATTCGAGTCCAGCTGCAGTCATTGGAGACCTGTGGTGCAGAGGCTTTTCCACCTGCTGTGTTACCGTCTGCTCTCTGCTGGTTGTGGGTTCTAGGACAGCGTGCACTTGAACAGGGTTCTGTTTTGGGACCTAAATTATTTATACTATACATTAACGATATATGCAAGGTTTCTGATTTAGTGAAAGTGGTTTTATTTATTGAGGGAGCTAAAATAGAACGAGTACATGAAATTATATTTTTAGGTGTCATAGTTGATGACAAATTCTCATGGAAATCGCATATTAGATGTGTTCAGAATAAAATAGCAAAAAATATATTGATATTGGCAAGGGTTAGATATATTTTGGACTTTAAAGCACTACGCATTTTGTATTCTTCATTGATTTTACCATACTTAGAGTATGGTGTTGAAAACTGGGGCAATACATACAAAAGCTCACTTCAACCATTGTATATATTACAAAAAAGAGTGATAAGAATTGTGCATAAGATGGGGTATAGGGATCACACCAATGGAGCTTTCATACAGTCTAAATTGTTAAAATTTTTTGATTTAGTGGGATATAAGACTGCTGTGTTTATGTATAAAGCCAGGAACAATTTATTACCTGGTGGAATTCAAAAACTATTTAATGAAAGGGAAGGGGGATACAATTTAAGGGGTCAGTTAAATTTAAAAATTCATGCTATACGTACAACCAAAAAAGATTTTGTATTTCCATAAGTGGGGTAAAACTATGGAATAATTTAAGTGTGGACATAAAAAATAGTAATAGAATTGACGAGTTTAAACATAAATATAAAGGTATGTGTCAATCAAGATATATGCAAGAACAGGTTTAATGATTAATTAGATGGAACATTGTGGGTGTGGTGTACATTTTGTAATAATTCTTTAGTATATTACTTGTGTGTGTAGAAGTGAATCATTTACTGCTTGCAAACCAATGATGTAAGATGATGTCATGGGGTAGGACTGGATAAGTCTGACTTCTTCCTACTCCATTCAAGCATGTACTAGGTATAAGCAAACTGATATTGGATTATGTCTAAAATTATGTGTGTTGTCATATCAATTGTCTTTGCATGCTTGAAAGAATAAATCAAATCAAATCAAATCAAAATCAAACTAGTTTAGAAGTAGATCACGGTGACCAACTGACAGCACAGACTTTAAAGGATGCAGCCAGTGATTTGTCATGTTTCTGGGTTTTGTTGACCCAAAAATATTACTAAAGTAAAAGTACAAAGGTGTTGGCATAAAATATACTTTAAGTACCAAAAGTAAAAGTATGCCCAGTGGCAGACTTTACATTGATGGACATCATATTATTTGATTATAATCGCTGATGTTTTATTGCTTGCATCACATTTAAAGTTGCAGCTGGTAAAGATGGAGCTAATCTTAACTGGCTTATAACTATACTTCTAATTAGAAGTACTGCTGGGTCGCTTGTGGGTTTTACACAAAGGATCAATAAATCTTATGATTGTACTGTATTTTGTTTTATAAACCTCATTCTGAAAACTAACTAGTAACTAAAGTTATCAAATAAATATAGGGAGTACAAAGTATTTTTCTCTGAAATGTAGTGAAGTCAAAGTATCAAGTAGCAGAAAATGACAATATTCAAAATTGTACTTAAGTACAGTACTTGAGTAAATGTACTTAGTTACTTTGGACACAGTCCACCTTTGTGTGGACCGGCTTGTTGTGGACATGATTTCTGACTTTTGATTTCAGACCAGTAACGTTGCCGCTAACTCCAGCTCCTAGCAGCTAAAAGGTGTGATCTGAGTCTGGCATCAGAACTTCGCCTAAACTTGAACTGCATTTGAATCCGGTTCCAGACCAGGGTTTGCCTATTGATGATGTGGGCTAAAGAGCAATGTCTAGGAAATCGTTTCCACCACTTGTGCGACAGCTGACAGCAGCGATGCTGACAGGATACGAAGGATTTAATGCCATTATTTGAGCGGTGACAGGAGGTGATGGAATACAGAATACTGATGCTGTGTCCATAGTTTTTCCCCCAGTGTTGATCTGTATGATGAGCTGTGTGGTTACACCTTATTATATAACACCAGCTTCCACTTCCTGCATCAGGCATCACGTTTTCACCAGTGCATTCAGATGAAAAATAAACATTTTTTGGCTGTGATAATGAATTGCCACTAATTACATATAATTAATTACACAAATAAATCTGCAAGCCCGTGTGTGCGTTTGTGCAGGCTGTGCATGTTAAAAGCTCATTTCCCTATGTCAGCTCTACCTTAAACCTGATTATCCATTTAGATCTTTACAAGCGAGCACAGAGTTATTACACACAGGCAAATTGTGTTTGCTTTCCTGACACTCGCAGTGTTAATCCCCTTTAACGTACAGGATCTGCTGGAGGAGAGTCAATATTGACCTCTGTGTTTCCTCCTTTCACTCCAGCCATGTTTGTCTGAGTCCGTCCCGACACTCGCTCTGTCACGTCATTGTTTAGTTCCACTGTTTGTCCCTGTGATGAGATTGATGCTAATATTGTCCACTCCAAAATGACTGAGAGTTTATGAGCAGATCAACATGAAAAGTTATTGTTGTGCTTTAAAACCTACAGAATTTGTAGGTTGAGTGTAACACGACAATGTGAAGAAGGAGCTGTAGTTAGTTCAGATAGTTACATACCGATGTGACGAATTTAAAAACCAGGTAACGCACCTTAAAGACTTTCAAGTCAGCCGTGATTGCGTTCCAGCCATGTGATGCTCAGAAGGAAAGGCTGATTGGCCAGATGAGCTTTTCCTAGATGGTCTGACACAGTTGCCTCCACCTGCAGCTCTACAGGTACTTTCCTTCACAAATACAGTCAGGATGGATAGAGCAAGACGTCTGAGTGTCTTAAAGCATCTGCAGGTTTTACTGTCCCAACTTAAGAGTTCATGTTTTGATAAAATGTCACAGTGATTCTGACAATTGTTTTAGGTAAAACCAACAGGGCTTGCTAATTTTCTATCTCAACAGGTTGCTTGTTGTATTTTGCACTGATCTGCTGTGTTCTGTGCTGTCTTGACCCAGACTGCCTGTTTAAGGTGTGTCCAATGAGTCGGTACTCGGCTCAGAAACAGTACTGGAAAACCAAACAAGCCAAACATGAGAAAGACAAGATCGCCGACGTGGTTCTGCTGCAGAAACTACAGGTAGCAGTCACACACACCTCTGCACACTTGCTCCCTGCTTGATATTTTGGATCCTCTGCTCAGCTTTGAGTGTCCAGGACACCCGAGAGAGGATGTTCTCATTTGACAGAGCTAGGCTAGCAGCTTCCTTCTGCTTCCAGTCTTTGTGCTAAGCTAGGCTAAACACTTCCCATCTGTCTGTTGCAGCATGCGTCCAACCTGGAGCAGAAGCAGAACGAGACAGAAAACAGGAAAGTCCACGGAGACATTGTCAAATATGGAACTGTTATCCAGGTAAACAGCTTGTTTACAATCTAGGACTGGATGACATGTCCTCACTCCCCAGGTATAAAACTCAACCGGTCCTCACAAAGATAGACAAGTACAGATGCACTGTCCTCAACAGGAATCTTTACCTGAACCATGTGACTCAGAGGAGACACCACACCCAGACTGTCCCCGTGTGTTTGCATTACAATGTCAGGTGTCAGCTCTGCAGCCAGGCCAATACGGCCACTAACAGATGGCAGCAAAGCAGTAAGACAGGCTCCACTTGTGTGTACACTTGCGTGTAACTGCAGCCTTAGTAGCAGCAGAACGGTGTGTGTGTGTGACTGAGTCAGAATAAACTACAGTGTGTGTTCATGATGATGAAGGAACGTGTCAGTGTGTGTGGTCGCTGATGGGGTTAAATAGTGTCTGGACACAGTGGAGCTCTGTGGCTCAGAGGAAGGAGAGACAGGTTTGGGTCCGCACATAAAGAAAAATGTGGGATATCAGCAGACTGATCCTTTACCTGTATGTAGAGACAGTTCATTAAGCAAACGGTGGAATGAATGAGCACTTATTCTTTGCCTCCAGTTGCTTCATATGAAGAGTAATAAATACCTGACGGTGAACAAGCGCCTGCCGGCTCTGCTGGAGAAGAACGCCATGAGGGTCACTCTGGATGGGACGGGAAACGAAGGCTCCTGGCTCTTCATCCAGCCCTTCTGGAAGCTCCGCGCCAACGGAGACAACGTAAGAACACATCACCTACACATCTGGACAGAGTGTGTCACACAGCAGAGACCGGGGAGGACACCAGGCTGACCTTAAAACCCACTTCTCAGATTTCCATAGCATTTTATATACCCAATAAAACAACAATAATGAAATCAATAATTCAGTTCAGTGCCTTTCTTGTTATTGCACGATTGCACAGTGACACTGATTCTCCCGTAGTACCCAAGACAAAAAACACCCAATCCATACCTGTACCGATAAATCAGTAATCATGATCATTGCAATAATAATAGTAAAAATACTTTAAAATTGATTTACAGTATACGCCACGTTTCATACAAACAAATGTCACACCATGTGAGTCTAGGAAATGAAAAGAACACAGAAAAAAACACATTAAAGCCGAACATTAAAAACAGGAAAATAAGTTTAGCTTTTGCACCAATGATATTCATTATCGTCAGTTCTGCTGGATGTTGATTAATGAGCCGTTTTGTCTATAAAATGCCAGAAAATATTGAAAGAATGCCCGTCACAGTTTCCCTCAGTCCAGGCCGACGTCTTCAAATGTCTTGTTGTGTTCGACAAAAACTCAGAACCCAAAGGTGTTGGTAAATGCTGTGTGTGCTTAGTAGAAATAACAACGTAGTAGCTTGACACACACAAAAACTCTAATCCTGCAGTGGGACTATTCAGTGTGTGCTGCTTGTTGCAGGTGGTGGTGGGAGATAAAGTCATCCTGAACCCGGTAAACGCTGGTCAGCCGCTTCACGCTTCAAACTACGAACTGACTGACCATCCAGGCTGCAAGGAGGTGAGACGCACACACAGTAATACCTGACAACTGACCGCACTGACACAGTACTAACAGGAGGCCGCCTACTGCAGCTGGAGGCTGAAACCGCTGTAGAAGTGTCTAGAAGGTCGACACCACTGACAGGCCCAAAGCACTCTGGCTCCAGTTGACTAGTGTTCTCAAAGTGTCAGCCAGTTTTTCCAGGAGACATTATGGTCTCTCTCTTTTAATTCAGACCCTCTAATAAGTGCCCTGGTGGTCAGTGTTGGATGTGACTGTTCCAGTAATCAGATTTCCAGGCTTATAGAAGCTTTGATGACCGACCGGTGGCTGCTTGCTCCAGCTCCCGGACTCGCATTGAGTCACTCTTTCACAGCTTCTGTCTCTATAATAAACACCATTTCTGCAGACAGACAGCTCTGCTGTGGCTGTGGTGAACAACTGACACTAATAAGACCCTCAGAGATGCTGTCACAGGGTTTCATTAAGCTAAACGTTGCTTGATTGTGATACCTGGCCTGTTAACAAACTGATGTTAGCATTAGGTTGCGGTCCAGCAGCTAGCCCGCTAGTGTTGGGTCTGCGGCAGCAGGGCAAGGCAACACCCTGAACATAGGGAAAAATGGTGCTGACTGTAAACTGCCGCCCTTGGCTGGCTTCAGAGCAAACCCCAGGTCACATCTTGCTATGTCCACAATATCTACTGTGTATGGCTGATACTGATTCAGATTAGAACTGCACCAGAACTGGCTAGAAAACAGACAAACTTACACTAATGAATACTCGTGTAAAGAGTGTGATGATGCTGTCACAGCAGTTATGACACCGGTGTTCTCATTGTGCATACGCCCAGTGTCGGACCCATGAACTGACCAGCCGCCACTCTGCTTGTTGAGTCACGAGTCTGCAGTGGATTCCTTGTGTCCCCTTTCTCTGAACTTTGAGCGTGTTCTTCCCTCTGTAGGTGAACTCTGTGAACTGCAACACCAGCTGGAAGATCAACCTGTTCATGATGTTCAGTGACCACAGAGAGGAAGTCCTGAAAGGAGTGAGTGACTTCACTGACTAACCCTAACCCTGCTCTCGGGCGGGGCAGCGCTGTGTCCCTGCTGCCCTGCCTTTCTGTCTTCAGAGCTCTTAAAAAGAGTTGTGCCTTTTTTTCTGAGTCACAGTTCAGTCAAATCTGAACACAAACACAATACACACATTCTGAGATTCACTGGGATCATTATCTCACATGTCTGTTGTTGACACACGTCCTTAAATCGGTTTAGAAATCATAGAATAAAGTCGCACCATATAATTCCAGAACTGATCAGGTTTTTGTTTTCTCAATAAAAGTAATTCACTGGTAGTTGTCTGTGGGTACATTGAAAATGTTAACAAACATAGGCTCAAGTTGTAGGCTGTCAAGGCTGTCTCACACATTTTCATACTACAGCTCCCATGAGCCTCAGTTGTTGGTGCTGTATTGAAGAAGCCAGTCAGAGGTGTGACCCAGAGGAGTTTTGAACCAAACAGGCACCTGAAATATAAGATTTAAGTAACTGAGCAAAGCCTACAAACCCTTTGGAACTGTCCTTTAATGCTTCTTTATCTGTCTCTGTCTGTCAGGGCGACGTGGTGCGTTTGTTTCATGCTGAGCAGGAAAAGTTTCTAACCTGTGACGAGTACAAGAGCAAACTCCATGTCTTCCTCCGAACCACGCTGCGGCAGTCTGCGACTTCGGCGACCAGCTCCAACGCTCTGTGGGAGGTCGAGGTACGCACAAACGCACTGACCTTCCTCTGAAGTTGTATTAATGCTGCATTCATGCAGTCTTGGCAGAATGGGAAAGACATCTTCCTTTAGCTTGGGGGACTTCACGTGTTATTCCAAGGTGGTTTTCAAGCAGAGCACTTAAACAGCCTACATGTTGTTGTGCTGTGTCTGTATCAAGTGAAACCAGTTGCCAACAAACGGTGTACAGCTCCTACAACCTGAGCCAGTTATGTTGCTGTCAGTCTTGGAATGTATCACGTTCATTTATTTTTTCAGCTCTTCCAACAGTTTGTCGACATATCTTTAGTTGGTTTCACCAGGCGTCTGAAATTCAGCTGACATGATCAGTTTTCCCAACTTGGCTTAAGATCTGTCTGTGTGCTGATTGGTCCATCAGGTTGTCCATCACGACCCGTGTCGTGGGGGGGCAGGACACTGGAACAGCCTGTACCGCTTCAAACACCTGGCCACTGGCAACTACCTGGCTGCTGAGGTAACCATGGCAACACTGGATGGCTGGACCAACGAGTGAATGGCTGTTTTATAATAACAAAATATTTAAAGTCTCCGTCAAATTTACCCTTAACTAAAACTATTTACTCCGAATTTAACGTGAATGTCTACGGAGGTAATTCTGTTCTTATGTGATAAAAATGTAAATTTGTAGTTTTACTGTGAAGCAAAGAACGGTATCTTTTGTAGGTCATAAAACAAACAGTTGTAGTTTTTATGTGATGTAGGTCTGCAAATAATAATTAACATTACCAATTAGAGTAGAGTAGAGAGTAGGTACTTCATTGATCCCACAGTGGGGAAATTTCTGTGTCACTGTAGCGATAGAGACCAACCAACATAACACCATAAGAACAGAACTTCATAAAAACACGGGAAAGAACACAATGAGGACACAGCTGCTGTAACTCGCTGCCACTCTGCGCGGCACAACAAAGGGCACTTAGTCTCAAAATAAAAAGTTACATAAAGGCAACAAAGCATTAGGACTGATAGCGTCATCAGAACATTACATTGTACACAGCACAAATAAGCAAATCAAAGGCACCTAAAAACAGGGCAGAGCAGCACTGGAGAGAATCAGGAACAGCAGTAGAGACTAAACAAACAGGAAATCAAGAACAATCAAAGAACAGTTAATCATTATATCATACACAGTGCATCATATATTCAGTTTACCAGCAACAGGGAGCGAGCAAACCATGAAATGTTCAATCTGGAGAAGCTGGAGGCAGTAAATTTAGGCATTTGTGCATAGAAAAATGACTAATCCATTATCTAACAGATGCTGAATCGTTTTCTGTCAAGTGACAAATTTATTAATTGGCTTAATGTGTCTGTTTTTAAGCTAAGTAAAATAGTAACTGTAATCAAAATACATGAAACTAAATCTAAACAAAATTACAAAAGTGCATTTGTTCTTATTTGAAAAAAATAGAAGTATGATTTAGAAAATAGAAATTTGTTTTGACAAATAGAACTGTCAGCTTTTATAAATAATATTTGTATTTAATTGATAATTTAATAAGCAATTTATTTGCATAGAATGTGATTTATAAATGTTTAACACATATCAAAGTGCCAGATAGGGGCCACATTTCCAATTGTTTTCCTACAGCATTTAGTTTTTAAGCAAAGTAAAGGCTTCCTAGATGCATTTGTTTGAACAGACTGCTGATTAAATTATTGGAGAAACTAAGAAAAACTTTTTTGTGCAGTAGCCAATATATTTGCTGATATTGTTGTAGGAGAACCCGGGCTACAAAGGAGACAGTACAGAGCTGTCCTCGGTGAGTCACTGTCATTGTTTCATCAACACCAGGGAGGCTGATCGAGCTGAAGGTCAGCTGAGGTGTCCATCTTTACTTCACTGGTTTGATTAGAAAGTCGTGGAGGGCAGTTGGGAAGCTATTATGACATATATGACTAAAAATATGAATGCAGTAACAGTACACAGAAGAAAATTTCACTCAATACAAACCGTTCAGAGCCCCCAGTTTGTGTATTTTAACCCTCCCAGCTCCTCAGCATCACCCTGACCTCTGACCTCTCTGCAGGTGGAGGGTATTCGTGGCAACAAGCGGTCCCACAGTGAGCGGATCAAGTACAAGCTGGTAGCAGTGCTTCATGGGAACGACATCGCCTCGCTGTTCGAGCTGGACCCCACAACGCTGCAGAAGACAGACTCATTCGTGCCACGGTAGGAACTACGAATACCATCCTTAGACTGGGATCAGACCAGACCACGCTCTGTCAGATTAGTCAGAGAATTTGTATAGAAACCGAGCCTCCTGTCTTCCAGAAACTCATACGTACGACTGAGACATCTGTGCACCAACACCTGGATCCAGAGCACCAACGTCCCCATTGACATAGACAGTGAGAGGCCCATCAGACTCATGGTGAGTTCTTACTCAAGCTCCAGTTCAGACGTACTCTTCAGGAGTGAGTAACAGCTATCATTGGAAAAACAGTGTATGATTCAACATTATATGAACAAAAAACTACCAGTTTCCATCCACCTCGGTGTCTCCTCCTCCCACAGGTGGGAACATGTCCCACTAAAGAGGATAAGGAGGCGTTCGCCATCGTCTCAGTTCCTGTCATGGAGATCAGAGATCTGGACTTCGCCAACGATGCCAGCGCCATGTTGAGCACCGTGGTAGACCAGTTTAACCAGGGCTTCATCAGCCAAAATGACCGCCGGTACGACACCTTGTTTGTTTGCAGTTGCTGTGTGTTTTAATAATTTACCTTGATTTAAAACTACCATGAAATATGATTGTCTGTACAGTCAGTAGTAAAGGTGCGCATGGATGGGTAGAAAGTAGAATGTTGGATGAATAAAACGATGTACAACTGTGTGGGTGGGAAGAGCGCTCCAAAGGATTGAGGATAGGTGGAAATGTATGGGCAGGAAGCACTGGGCCCAGATGCCTCTAACTGGCTCCACCCCCTACTACCTGCTGCACAGTAGACAAAATCTGAGAGTGACAGATAAGTGAAGCAGGAGGTTTACAGCTGACAGGAACCAGCTGTATAGTTACGGGAAACATCCTGGACTTAACTTTTACCTGAAGTCAGAATTTCTCTTAAAGATATTGGAAAATGTAAGTCATTTTGTTACCATAGTCATAATAAGACAACAAAAATCTTTTCAAGGACACTGGACCACTGCATTCTCCGCAGTGGAGCTAGAACACAAGGGTCTGTAGGCCAAAATACAGTTTTCAAATCCAAGACATTAACTTAACATAGACAGGGAAGCAGGCCTTGATGAAGAGTTTATATTCAGAGATGTTTCCTTTTTTGCTCAGGTTTGCAATTAAGCTGCTGGAGGACTTGGTTTTCTTTGTGGCCGATGTCATCAACAGCGGTCAGCCAGTCCTGGATGTAGCCATGACCAAACCCAACCGTGAGAGACAGAAACTGATGAGAGAACAGAACATCCTCAAACAGGTACAACCTGAAAATTATCCAGAGATTTAAAAAGAAACCATGACAGAAGCAGGAAACAAAGCCAGTGACTACTATCAACTGACTGAGACATTGTAAATGTGTGTTCAGATCTTTGGCATCCTGAAGGCTCCTTTTAAAGACCGGGGGGGTGGAGAGGGTCCTCTGCTGTGTCTGGAGGAGCTGGCCGACCAGAAGAATGCTCCCTACCAGTACATGCTCCGCCTTTGCTACAGAGTCCTCCGACACTCCCAGGAGGACTACCGAAAGAACCAGGTGAGGAAAGTGAGCAGGTAATAATCATGATAATGACCTTGTTTTGCCAACTGCCAGTTTGAACTAGACCAGTTTTTGGGCCTTCCTGTTCCTTCCTCCATGTATCAAAAGGGTGTGCCCCAGGGTGATGTACTAAGACCACTGCAATTTTCCAGATATGTAGATAGTCTTTAAATGCACTGTATTATTGTATGCTGATGGATTACCTGACATCTGTTTTGTAGCTGTTGTTTCAATCAGGATCTTCATCAGCAGATAAACAGCTACAATTCTGTGTCACCTTAATGCAGATGAGGACTGTGTGATATGGTTGAAAGCTCGTGATCAATGACTAAATTTATCTTGAGGTGAAATTTGAATCACTGTTTAAGAGACTTGAGAATAATTAAGTGAAAGGTGGTACCAGTGGTGATGGTTGTGATGCTGAAAGTGGGGATGATGATCCACTGGTGCAGAAAGAAATGAAAAACAACAATTGGCTGATTCCCCTGTTCAACCTCCCCCTCCAGGAGGACATAGCCAAACACTTCGGAGTGATGCAGAGTCAGATCGGTTATGATATCCTGGCTGAAGACACCATCACTGCCCTGCTGCACAACAACCGCAAACTGCTGGAGAAACACATCACCAAGACCGAGGTGGAGACCTTTGTCAGCCTGGTCCGCAAGAACCGAGAGCCCAGGTACACACAGAGGGAGGGGGGAGAGGTGGTCATTTGCTGTTGTTAGTTTTTAATTGTGTGTGTGTGTGTGTGTGCAGGTTTCTGGACTACCTGTCAGACCTGTGTGTATCCAACAACGTGGCCATCCCTGTCACTCAGGAGCTCATCTGTAAATGTGTGCTGGACCCCAAAAACCAGGACATCCTCATCAAGACAGAGTGAGAGAGGGACAGATGACCTTTAACCCCTCAAAAACAATTATTCACTGCTTTATCCAACTGTATGTTACACTGGATGCCCATGCATTCATATGGGAATAGTTGTAAGCAAGTCGCTGTATCCCTTCTGGATAACAGGTCTATTTTAATTTTGTGTAGTCTACGAGGCATCAAATCATGCACACCTACAAAATGTAAAGAATGACAGGTAATTTCAAGACATTTTTATTCAATCAAGAACAGAACTGTCTCAACATAGGTCTCTACACCGTGACTCTCTCACCGGGATGTACATGTTTGTAGTGACTGTGTGTTTCTCCAGCAGAGAAAAGGAAAGTGCAATAGCAGCAGAGTAAATATTGTCACTGTCCTTCATATTTATTATTCTGACCTCAGTGTGTATCTTAACTCAAAGTCAGAGCTAAGTAGCATGTGCAATTAAACTCTGTAGGAATCTGAGGTTCTTAAATTACTTTACCCTGACCTGCTACTCTAATTTTCACTTTTAGTGTCAGGATTTTAAAATTTCCACTCTACCTCTATTCCATTTCCTTCAGACGCCGTATCCCAAAAGAGCCGCACCATGATGCTGTTTCACCAGAATACATGGAGGACTACACAGAAGAGGATGAGGTAGGTCCACCTTTTGAGGAAATGTGTCTTTGGTCTGAATGTTTCACTCACGAACAGCATCATGCACACATTACGGTGTGTGTGTAACACTTTAGACAAGTTGGAATGAGCTGATTTTTCCAGCCTCAAAGCTGCTCCAGTGGAAAACCAGAGGCTGTTTGTTCCTGCAAAACCAGGAAGAATTTCTTCTGTGTATGTTGCGTTTGCTTCAGAACAGTCAGCTAAGAGGAGAAAATAATTTCTAAAATGTAATAAATGATAGCTTGTGGATTATGAGACTTCATCGCAATGATGTCATGTCATGTCATTTTGGACAGGCCGGACCAGGAAATACTCTGTTTATTTTTTTGGTCATGGTGTCCTTGTGTCTTTCTGTAGGTGTGGCTGGTGTGGACAGACAAGACCAACGAGAGACAGGAGAAGAGCATCAGACAGCTGGCTCAGGAGGCGAGACAAGGAAATGCTCATGATGAGAACGTCCTAACCTACTACAGGTAGACACACACAGTGATCCTTCCCCTGGGAATACTGTATACTAAAATTTAAATTAAATTTAAAGAAAATTCTACGTAACATTGAGTGGATGCACTTGAATAGTCTCCCTGTAGACTCGAGCACTTGGATGTTTTAAAAGAAAACTTGCAACTCTTTCTTTTACCTAAATGCAATAGCAAGAAAAATTCACAGCACTGTTTGCAATTTCACTGCGTAATATTTTGTCCCACTGGTGTCAGTAGAATAGTAGAAGCAGAAGTAGGAGTAGGAGTTTTGAAAATATCTTAACCTTTATAATCTTAATCTTGGACCTACAGGCAGAAACAAGACAATGTTCTAGTAAATGTTTTAGTGTATGACATTATCAGTGAGTTTTCGGTCCGTCTCTGTGGACGCTTAGGTACCAGCTGAAGCTCTTTGCCCGGATGTGTTTGGACCGTCAGTATCTGGCCATAGACGAGATCTCCAAGCAGCTGGACGTGGAGCTCATCTTCCTGTGCATGATGGATGAGACGCTACCCTTTGACATCCGGGCCTCCTTCTGTCGCCTCATGCTCCACACGCACGTAGACCGAGATCCTCAGGAGCTGGTGACCCCCGTCATGTTTGCTCGCCTCTGGACCGAGATTCCCACCTCTATCACCATCAAAGAGTCGGTAGATTTTATTACTTCATCAGTTTATGTTATGTGGATTGTTGGAATTGTCAAATTTTTTGAAATTCTGCTTTGCCTGAATGGTTTGCTGAGGTTTTGACTCATGGAGCCTGCGTAGCTCAGCTGCTAGAGCATCAGACTTATAATCAGCCTTTACAGCTTTTAGTACAATGTTGTTCTGCCACAAAACTCCTGCATAGCTGGACATAGTGCTACATGAATGAGGATTGTCACTCTAGGGATGTAATAGTTCTGAAACCAAACCCCAAACCACGATACAAATATCCACAGTCTTGGGTTGCAGTTCTGTCTGCTGTAACCGCCGGGTATTTCATGTATTCTTCTGCAAATTATCACACTTAATTTAAAGTCTGCTTACTACATGATTCTCGTTAAAGGGTTTTCTTCTCTGTAGTTTTAAACCACCCCAAAATTTTCATATTCACTACTCAATGCAAACAACCAAGGACTGAACCAACCCGTGGATTTGGGAAACTCTTACACCCCTAGTCACTCACTGTGTCCAGCAGGAGCAGAGGTCCTGGACATTTACAGAAGGTCTGCTTAAGGCCAAGTGCGCCAAGTGCACCAGGTCCACTGTCAGGGACCAAGCAGTAAAGCAAAAGACCCAGCTTTCAAAGTTCAAAACAATGGGCTTTTTATTAACCCAAAAATAAGGAAAAGTACAAACATTAACATCAGATAAACTGGGCCCTAAAAAGAGATCAACAAAAAGATAGGGAAACTCAAAATACAGCAAACTGAACTGTCTGATACCTCAACAAAAACCAACTGACCTAACAAGTGACACACAGGGGAACATATCCAACAACACACACAAGGGGTAGACCAAAGACACTACCAAAACAATCAACTAATGAACACTAAACAGACAGCCTGCTCTCAACTAAATATTTCCTTTAAATATAAAGAAATTAACATAACTTGACAAATGAAGTTTTAACATAAACTACCAACAAATAAACAATACATTTCTCCCAAACTCCCCCCTTCCTTGTATTGGGCACTTGGTGCAGTCCAGGCCTAGTGGGAGGTATTTAAACCAATCAATGACAAGCCTGCTGGAGGGCTGAACAGCATTCATACAAAGAATAATCCCTCATACCTGCTGGCCATGGCTGCCTAGTTGCCTCAGTGTGTAATAATGGCAGTGGTCTAAATAATCGTGTCTGTTGAGCTGTTCCCTTTATAAACTCCAGAGCAGGATGTAACCAAGAATTTATATGTGGGAACAGCATAAAACCTAAAATGCAACATAGAAGTTAAAGTAGATCTCATATTAAGTGGTAAATGGTAAGTCACACATAATTAACCATAACGACTTCCTCCAGTTTGTGCCTTCTAGCTCTCAGTGTTGTCCAAAGAGAAATCCAGGAGGACCCTGGGTAGCTCAGTTGGTAGAGCATCAGACTTTTAGTCTGAGAGTCCAGGGTTCAAGTCCCTGTTCAGGCGTGTTGTTGTTCTTCTTTTAGTGGAGTACGTTGTGGTTTGTGTTTCAGTTTATTAAGTAGAGTCTTTGGAAACAACATCAAGCCTTAAGTGCAATATTCAGAAGGTACTGAAAGGACACGTCTTAGACTGAATACAAACGTCCACTCTTTTCTGGACATTTTTCAGGAACTCTCATCAAAAGGTGACATTTGCTTGTCCACAGATAATACCCCAGTGCCTGAAGCTTGTTGGCATTGTTGGTGCTCACAGTTCCTGTATCCCAATTTTAAAATGAGTGTCCAGTAACATTATTTCAAAACTCACCGGGTCAGAAAAATAAGTCTGTGTGCACTGAGTTAAACTTTAGAAAACCGTCTGGCCAGTAGCTCAGAGTCATTTGCAATTTTAAACTTGGCAAAGATGATGCATTTTCAGCCTACTTCATGGTGTGATGGTATACAATTGTGATCGTCCACCATAAACCAGCATAGCTCCTGGGGAGCTCACTTAGGAAAGCATTCAAATTGTAATGTAATTGTCCATAGTCCATATTAAGGCAAAACATACTGGAGGCTGCATAATGGAAAGGCTTAAGCAGATTAGATGTTCTTGAGTTCTTTTTCAATCTGGTGTAATGTGTGTCCTCTGCAGTTATGACTCCAACATGGACAACAGCAGAGACAACAAGAAGAACCGCTTCTCCAACACCATGGCGTTCATGGAGGAGTATCTCAACAACGTTCTGAATGAAGACCTGCCGTTCCACAATGAGGAGAAAAACAAACTCACATATGAGGTCTGTCTTTACTCTTCTGTTTCCTCTGTCCTTCTACAACCTTCTCAGTCCTCTGATCTTTTCTCCTGTGATAACATCTGGTTCCACCCTCTGTCCAGGTGGTGAGCTTGGCCAGACATTTGATCTACTTTGGTTTCTATAGCTTCTTTGAGCTGCTCAGACTCACCAGGACCCTGCTTGGCATCATCGACTGTAGATCTAGTCCTGTACACACTGGGATGTTATTTCACGAGGACGGATCAGGTACAGCACACTGGGGGGCCACTGAACTGGAGTCAAATGCCGTGTGTTTTAAACATACTTGGCAATAAAGATTCTGATTCTTTGTGATTATAGCACCTGTGTGTTGTCTACTGTTCAGTTTTATTAATGTCTAACGTTGTAATTAATACAGACCATTTCTGTTTTCTGTCCCAACTGAAGGGAAGAACGTGAAGCGCTCCATACATGGGATGGGCCAAATGATGTCCACCATGGTCCTCAATAGGAAGCAGTCCATATTTGGAGGGCCAGGTGCCAGAGTGGCGGGGCTTGCGCTCGAATGCCAGAGAAGCAGCAAAGAGAGTATCGACAAGATGGACCTGACAGTGATGGACACCAAGCTGAAGATACTGGAGATATTACAGGTAAGAATTTAACTGTAGTAAAACTACACTCAGTAGCCACTTTATTAGGCACACTTGTGCAACCAAATGCAACCCAGTATAAGAGCGCTGCCATAAAGTCTGCTATCATATTGCCTAAAGTTCAGGATGCTAATAGAGTTGTTTCTAACATTCTGCCCCACTAATGTAGGGCAAAAAAGGGAATACCTCTAAATATAATGTACAACAACACTGTTAATGATGGCCTCAATAATAAACATATTAACTGAATGTACACTTTTCTGACAATATCAGCAGAAACAGAATTGTCAGTCTTAAAGGCAGAACACATGGCACAGCTGAATTGCATCTATCAAAGTGGCCACTGAGGGTACATTAATTAAACTACACTAAGTGAAATGCCAGAGATACTGTGGAATGATTAACTAAAATAAACGAACATACACTAAATACTGACAACAATAATGACCATTTAAAAGTAGGCAAACAAAACCAATCAGCCTAAGTCGGTGTGTTTAGTTAAGAATGGGAGGTTAAATTAAAATACATAGTGCAACAGAAATAATAAGCTACAGCTTCCTGCATTCTCTCTGGCTCCCTGCCCTGTTCAAATGGAGCTTGGTGATGAGCCTGGGTAGGGCATCAGACTTTTAATCTAAAGGTCCAGGGTTCAAGTCCCTGTTCTGGCATTTACAGGATCAGCTCTTAGAGGCAGTGTTTCTTATACCTAGTGGAAATAACATCAAGCGTCATGTTCAATGGACAGAAATGATTGTAGATCCCAAAATAATCCATCTAATCCTGAACTCAGACGACTACTACTACTACAAGAGTGTAGACAGAGCTCAAATGACAAAATGACATTGACTTGGCCACAGAAAATGAGCTGGCGCCTACTGGCTGGATATTGCACACAGTTTTCCATCCATCCATTATTATTATTATCACACTGCTTATTCAGAAGAGGATCGTGGGGGGCTGGAACCAATCCCAGCTGACATTGGGTGAGAGGCGGGGCCCACGTTGGACAGGTCACCAATCTATCACAGCCCCCTCGTGACCCTATACAGGAATAAGCAGTACAGATAATGGATGGATGGACCTGCTTCTAGCTTCTAGACTAGGTAGTTTAAAAACAAGGTCATAATTTTCTGAAGTCCAACATAACTTCAAATGTCTTGTTTGGTGTAAGCCCCCAACATAAGTTCATTATCATAGATGTTTAAAAAATGTGCAAATATTCATGTTTGAAGACCCGGAATCTTTGAATTTTTGCCAGTTCTGCCAAATAAAAGACTTAAATGATTAATCATTTATCAAAACTGGCATTTAATTTTCTGGTAACCAGTTAACGGATTATTTAAGTTCTAGGTGGTTTCTGGTTGCCTAAGAAAATGCGTAAACTGTCATGTGGGGGTCAGGGGTTTAATCTAGCCCTGTAGCTATTAGATTAGGTCAAGACAAGCAAAGGTAGTGTCTAATAGTTCAAGTATAGTCTACATCTTGTCCTCATAGCTGTTTGTTCTTCTGCCCGGTCCTTTCTCGTGAAGGTGATATCTCAGCAGCACCCTGAGGGAATTTCTTCAGATTTGCCAGAAACATCCACTTAAACTCAAGGATGTACTGATTAACCTTTTGTGGTCAAATTTGGCTGGGTCAACAACCATGAAGCAGTACTCCTGGTTTCACACGTGGTCCCATTATGTCTTTATTCTTGTCCAGCACCAGGATGCACAGATATCTGCCCCAAATGACAAAATGTTTGGCCAGGATTAAACCAGTGCTCAGTTGTAGCAGATAGTCTCACCACCCTGGTCTTTTTCTTTGAGAGATGTATGTTAAAGTACGCTGCACTTGTACTGAGTAGCTGAAAAAGCTCAGCTGTGTCTGTCCTCTTCAGTTCATCCTGAACGTTCGTCTGGACTACCGCCTCTCCTTCCTGCTATCTGTGTTTAAGAAGGAGTTTGTGGATGTGTATCCCATGGCTGATGCTGATGCCACCACTAGCACAGAGCAAACAGGTACACACACGGCCGATGGAAACACACTCAGGCTTTTATTTTTTTATCTTACTGGAAACACAACTTACAGACAGAAACACAGTTGTTTCTCTTTTACATTTATAATAGTTGTTATCTGGTTGATCATTTTTATTTCTTGTTGAGGGTGGCATGAATAGTTTCCATTTTCTTCATCAGTTGTGTTATGTGCAGTCTCGATATTTGGTCTGTTTTCCAGTTTAAAGATGTGTGTAGCTGTATTCAGGCCTTGATCCTGTGTAGAAGCTTTCACACTCACCAGTCACTCACAGTTTTTTACATTCAGCTTCTACACAGTGTTGTAGAGGTTGACTGTTGTATAGCTCTTGTGACGTTTTACATAACTTTTTCAAGACTATAATTACCAGGATTTTAAAAATGGTTATGTGTGATCTCTATCAACATACATCCTGCAGTATTAAGTTGTGTGTTGCTACTTCTTCCAGACATCCCAGCCAACATGGCAACAACAGCTAGAGCCCAAAATAGTCTGAAGTCTGTCATTTTGCAGTAAAAATGGGTCTGTTTGTTCCTGTTTTTGGCCCCCTACCATTCTTGCCACCTGTTTATATCTGTCTTTAAAACCGAGCCATGTTTTCTTTGTGTGTTCATTATCAAAGCTCTAGTAGTTGTGTGTGGAAGTGACCCTCTGCACATTTAGCCCTGTGGTTGTTTGTCCCTCCTCAGCCACCATCAACCTGCAGCACATTGGAGAGCAGGCAGAGGCCATGTTTGGAGTTGGGTATGTAAAGCTCCATGTACAGACACTTGCGTGGTCATTACTGTCAGAACTTATATGGTTTTTTGTGACCTTTTAAGAGGCATATTAGACGTGTGTGTGTATTTCAATAAAGTAAGGGGAACAGCATCCTGGAGGTGGATGATGAAGGTGGTCGCATGTTCCTGCGGGTGCTGATCCACCTCACCATGCACAACTATGCCCCTCTGGTGTCTGGAGCTCTGCAGCTGCTCTTCAGACACTTCAGCCAGAGACAGGAAGTGATGCACACCTTCAAGCAGGTCCACACACACACATGCACACACAGAGCAAACAGAATTAGGAGTGTTTTTCCCTCTAAGGTGAAAATCCAGTGTTTCTTTAAAAGTATCACTTTTCAGAATAAAGTGAGACAAGATTTAGGCTGAACGATTACTTGAATAATCACTTATTCAGTTGCTTAAAGTCTTCATTGTTTTCTGAACATTTAGAGACATTTCCATCGAGTATTTGAGACAACTGATACACTAACCAATAATGAAAACAATTGTTAGTTGTAGTAACACATTTCTACAATAAGGCACCCTAACTGAAAACAGCACCACTTTATTTCCCACCAGACTTTCTCACGTGTCATATTATAAATTTAATATTATGAATTCCATTTAAGAAACTCTGACTATAATACTGACCATGATCCAGCTTCTCCATTAATATTTGTATCTTTTGGCCTTGTATTTTCTGTTCTGGATCACTTCCTTGAAACACATAAAGGCCTAACGTCACTAACACTTGTAATGCTTTTACACTTCTAAGCTCTTAATATTTTTTACTGTTAAACACTGTTTGCAAAGTTTAAACCTTGAAGATACTCAGTATACTGCTGCTGATGTCATGCGCTGTCAGGGTTTTGTCAGTCTGCCTTTATTCATTTGATAAATAACCTAATCAGTACCAGAGACCAGTTCACTGTATAATCATTCACTACCTGCTGAATAAGGAAGTATTTATACAGTAATACCTTCAGCTGAAGACTTACAGTACATGCCTTTATTGTCTCATGGTGTGAAGTGCCACTGCTTTCAGTGCAACCAGATGTTGTTGCCTGCCTGAATGTTTTCAGTGAGCCTAGTTTTCTGAGCCTGTGTAGCTCAGCTGGCAGAGCATCAGGCTTTTAATCTGTGGGTCTACAGTTCTACTTCCTGTTCAGGCATTTCGTTTCAAAGGTTAGACATCGCTCTGGCCAAAAAACGTATGTAGACTTAAAATTGAAGATAAAATGCCTCCGAATCTGAAAATGTCTACCTTTACACAATGTTTTGCCCAAATCCAATTTATTGCTTAGCCCTATCCTTCTAATTTGCACATTCACGTGTGGTGGTAGGGGTGTCCTGATTCTCTTTAGGATGGAGGGGTCGGCCTACACAGCCTTTCAAATTTTGGGGTTATTACAACTTACAAGGCTGTAGGTTTGGGGCTCAGTGGCATTTGTTTAAATCTAAAAGTGAAAAATTTCACGATGACTGACCAACCCACCCTTAGCAGGACACCCACTGTAATCCTCAACGACGTTTCCCTGTGCATCTGCAGGTCCAGCTGCTGATCTCAGCTCAGGATGTGGAGAACTACAAGCTGATCAAGGCTGATCTGGATCGCCTCCGGACACTGGTGGAGAAGTCTGAGCTGTGGGTGGAGAAGAAGGGCTCGGGAGGAGGGGATGTGAAGGACACAAAGGGCAAGGAGAAAGGAGAGGTGAGGAGCAAAGATCTTCATAACTAGCTCTAATACAACAAAGGTGAGCATAAGTCTATTTAGTGACTGAATAGTTTTAGAAATACACCAGCAAAAATAAACTTTCATATCTTATTTGTTCCCTTTCTTGTAGCACCTTTCCCCCAGTATGTCCAGTTCCAGGTTTAAACTTTTTAATCTTTAGAAAAAGATTATACTCACTGTATTGCATAGGCTGATAGGTGTTGGTGTTGTAGAATGATGTAGTCATGTAATTAATGGATATTTGTTCACCTAAATCCACCTGAATGCCTGGAAATGAAAATGTTTATGTTCCTGCCACAGGTGACACAACTAATATTACTAATTCACATCTTTTCCCACATTTTTGGAGAAAAACTGGTCACAGAATAAAATGGTTTTTAAAAAGTACACATGAGGAACACATCAGGAAGAATGAGAGATGAGGTGGTGGTGGTGAAAAGCACAGTATCATCAGCATACATCTTTAGTTTGAGAGAGAATTCATGCAAGAAGCTGATAATATTGTCGGACTTTCACTCTTTTTTCAGAACTAGCAGGTGTGATCATCATGTCTACATGTCTATGTGACACTTCAAGCTGCTGTAAATAACTGTAAAAAATGACTGTGGATAACCACCAGGACACTCACTAACAAACCAGCAAATGAACAGTTTTCTTGGTAGAAGATTAACAATTATTAATAATCAGAATGCTACTCATGAAACTAAACCACTAACGTGAAACAAAAAAAATAGTTTTGATCCTTTGCATCTGGGTCTTTACTTTACTTACTGTTCCCAATGTTGGTGTGGGGCTTGCTGGTGTCTCAGCTGGCTAAGGTGCAACTTCATGGTCCTGGGTTTACATTTGGCCTCTGACTTCTGTTGCATGTGACACCTCCATCTCTCTCTTTATTGTTTCTTTCTACTGTGAAATGAAGGCACAGTGCTTCAAAATGTCTTTATAGCACCATCTTATCATCACCATACATCATATAGACACACAGCAATGTAACAAGCAATATGTCAGTCGAAAGTTAATTTCCGGTCAATTGCTAACCGGATAATCACACTGAACGGCCTTTCACTTCACTTTGAGCTGTGTTCGTGTTAACCTTTCTCTGTTTGGGAGGCGGGTTTATGTTTTTTTATTTTTCTCTAACCAGTCAACAGTGAGTGATGTATCTGTTCCTCCAACTTCATGTTTAGTCAACACGGAAGCTACGGTAGCAGTTGTTGCAAGGAGCAGTTATTGTTTTCCAGCGTTATAACAGTTAACTTAATTGTCTGTCTAGAAAGCTCTCATAGGAGGATCTTGATTCTCAAGAAATGCTGATCAAAGGGAAACATGGGGAGCGTTTCTTAGGTCCAATCAAATGCAGAAATGTCAGAAAAAAAAGACTCTCCTGTATTTGCTTTTTGTGAAGCCCTAGATAAGTTTTTGAAATGAGGAAGTTTCTAACTACATCAGGAAGAAGTAGTTTTGGTGTGCAGGAGGATATTTAAAATTGAGATAGCTTCTCCAAGCACATAGTTTGTTTTTCATTCAGAAAAAATGAAGGTCAAAGAACCTTCTGAGAGAGTCCCTGAGGAGCTTCATGATGATTCTCTCATCTGTCTGCGAGACTTTGTGGACAGCAGTGTGCAGCTCAGAATATATGGTAGTGCTGGCTGTATTCACATCTGCTGTCCGGTCCTCAGTCAGTGGATCTGAATGTGGACCAGGGTCACAATCACAGTTTAATGGCTTCAGTGTGAGAACAGTTTGGGGAGTTTTCCTGCTAATGGCACATCTGTACAAAAGGACCACAATGAATGAAATCACCTTGTTGCTTAGGTTTGTTGCATTACATAGAACACATATTGTAGTGAGCAATAGTTTGATTTGTTATTCAAGTGTGTATAACCTAGTAGCTTACCCACAGAGAACTGCATATGCTGTCTTACCCTCTGCATCCTGCAGGGGGCATCAGAAGGACCAGCGCCCAAGAAGGAGAACCTGGCTAAGGGCAATGAGAACTACCAGAAAGTCAAAGAGGTGAGAACACTCGTGTATCTCTGCTCTGCACGTGATAATGTGTACGGTCATTTCCATCTCTGCTGTGGTGTTTTCTACAGTGAGCTTCGCCGAGAGATCACCTGTCAATCAATCACTGTGGGCGGGACTGATGTGTGTGTCACTCTTGTCTCTTCAGCAATAGGGGCTTTCACTGCTCAGAATGATTACATGTAATTATTTTTTCCTGGTAGTCACTTTGGATAACAGTATCTAAATGTTACAGATGTAAATAAAGGGGAAAATTAAAGGATGCAATACTCACCCACCAGTTGGGTTTGTAAATTGAAGGAACGGTTCTTACACGACTCAAGTGTAAGAAACCGTGGACAAAATCCACAGTCCTCACTTTGTTAAAAAGCATTCTGAAGTTCAGTTAATCAAAACAATTGCTTCTGCTTGATTGGTTTTGGCCTCTGATCATTCGTTGTTCAGCTGCCATTCAGTCTCCAAGTCTAAATTATTTTGCATTTCCTTGATCTTTTGAATGAGTTCGGCTTTCAAGCAAATTTCTTTTTTTACTTACAAGCTTTGTCAGGGAATTATGGAAACTGTTCACAGTGGAACTTGATTGTCCCATCTGTTTTACTGTGAGGTGTTTTCAAGTCTTGAAACACTGTTTGATGGTACAGAATCACTGTGCTTCACCTTTACTCAAAGGGTTCATAATTTTAAATTGACAGCTTGAATCAGGTGGCAGCTACCACAGCGACCTGGAGGCTGAAGCCAAAGCAGAGTTATCTTAAAGGTCAAAGTCGCTCACAGCCGCTGGGCACCGTGTCTAAAAATTCCTGGCTCCAAGTGTCAACTTCACTTTAGAAATATTAAGTCAACCATTATTTTCAAGGACCAATTATGGTCTAAGGGTATTTCTCAAGTCTCTTACACAGGTGTTCATTTCCCTCACTTGCATCTTTTTCTTGCCTCTTTGTCCCGCACACATAAGATGTGAGGTAATAATACAAGGAAAACATGCCAAGCGAGAGGACTCAACGGGATAATGACATGAGACGTCCCTTCCTGCTGTTCTTCAGCTGTAGCATCCAATCACCAACTGATTTGTTGGCTCATAAAAAGCTCTCATGTGTCCTCACCTATGGCTCCTCCAGCAGCTTCCTCACTCCTCAGAGCTGATATAAGAGACTTGGAACATCCTCAGTCGACCGGAATGACTTTTAGGTTGAAGGATCAAGGATTGAGGAACAATCATATAAGAGACATGAGAAATGCTCTATATTTCTTAATTCAGGCTTGCTAATAGGTGTACTGGTGTTCATTTTGGAAGTTACTGCTTCATTAATAAGATTTTGAGGCTTAAAGAAGCTTTGATGATCGAAACTGTGGTTCTCTCCTGGACTCACACTGAGTTGGGCTTTCACATTCTGTTTCTGCAATAAACCTGATTTTTGTCCAGACAGTTCCACTGTGGCTGTGGTTACGGACTTACACTAATAAGACCTTCAGGGGTGCTGCCATACACTGTTTTATTAAGTTTAATCTTTTTGATTATCATACCTGGCCTGTTAGCATTGTTTAGCTAATTTAGCTAACATTAGCATTAAGTCGGTCTATACACCACGATTTCCTAACAGTTGTGCACTGACATAAATAAACTGAATATAAATTAGAAGGAAACACCCTGAACTACAGTTTACTACAACGGTACCTACAAACTACCATGAACTAGTGATAACAGTGACTCTTTGAAGCTAGCCTTTCTTTTGGCTGGCTTCCTTTCATAGAGCCGTCCAAAACAGCAAGTCATTTTTATTACATAGAGGGGTAATCCAAGTTTCAGGTCCATGTGTTTGACCAGGGGCAGGACTTAGCTACACACACAAGGTGCAGAGGCCACAGGAAATCTTTGTTTTGTGGAGGTGTGGCCATGTTTATTTGTGAAACAATCAGAAAATACATATCATTTTTCTGATTCAGTGCTTTGTTTTGCTTGTGCTGCTCCCTCTCCCTCTCCCTCGTAGTGAAGTAAATTTAGAACACAGGCAGTGAAATTTGGGCATAAGGATAAAAAGAATGACTCAGATCCCTTCGTTCCTACCAATGAGTGTTGAATAGAACTGGCTCGTTCGTGAACATCACTATGAACTACTTTAGAAATCCCCGGCTCCACCAGTAAAGGATTGCAACAACTGTAATCTGTAGCGTTGGGGTTCCGACTGGCTCCAGTGCAAATCAGCGTGTGATGCCGTGCCTTGCTATGTCCACTTTTTATACTGTATGGATTGAATTCATTTAATTTAGATTCACTGAGTTAGCCCTAACTTCTAGGCCATAAACCAAACCACTTTCATCCTGAGGTGTGCATGTTGCTGGGAAAACGTGCACAACCTAATTTCATCACTTTTACTGGCCAGTTATGTCACACACACACACACACACACACACACACACACACACACACACACACAAGGAATTTGTCTCCGGTGTGGAACCGAGGCAGCCGTCTGCAGCGATGGCGGCGCTGCACTGGCCTTCGGGGGCAACTGTGGGGTCAGTGTCTTGCCCAAGGACACTTTGACATGTGGAGAACGGGAATTGAACCACCAACCTTTTGTTTAGGTGATGACCACCACCTCCTGAGCCACAGCCACCCCCAGTGAGGTATTAAATGCTTTGAACCCTAGACCCCTCAGATCAAAAGGGTGATGTTCTATCAAATGCGCCACCCACGCTCCACATTAACCAGTTAATTAACTTAACTAACAAAACTAACAAAAGCTATAATATCCTTAACATTTATTATTCATACCTTACATTAATTTAAAACCCTTAGGCTTGTGTAATATAATGTTTCCACACCTCACCACAAACATTCTGTGAATTTAGAACTTAAACTAAAATAAATATTCACTGGTTTATTTAAATAAGTTTTGGGTGCTTTTAGGCAGTGGTTTCTTTGTGCAGTATATTTTTTAAACAATGTTTATTGTACAATCTGCCAGACTTCTGACTCATCTTTGATCATCAGGCACTGGTCCTGTGAAAACAGTTTTCTCCATGCTTCAACATAGTAAGTAATGTATGGAGCTGTAAGTGTAAATAAAGTCTGATTCTGGAAAATATTAACCAGAACTGCAATAATCGTAGACATGGTTGTTTCAAAATAATTTCAGTGAGTCTTATTATGAATTTAGTTTAATAAAATTTAGTGACCGCTTGTTAAAATTAAACCAATTCTATTTGCTATTTTCTTTTCCTTCTGGATCCAAAAGTTGCTTCAGATTTTTTGCCACAAAAACAAAAAACATAAAAAAAAACAAAAAACTATCACCTAAAAATTTAATACCTTTTAATTTTAAAATGAACAATAAGGGGCCAAACACTGTGCTCAGTATTTTTAAATCATTTAAATTGTTTACTGTTGTCGCTGTCTGTTCTCCAGGAAGCTATCTACCCACATTGATCTGTAATTTATGTTTGTCCTAATAATGCACAAGCTCCGTCTGTCCGCCCTGCCTCCTCTGTAGATCCTGGAGAGGTTGAATAAGATGTGCAGCAGTGGAGTTTGGAAGAAGCAGCAGAGGTTATTGAAGAACATGGGAGCTCATAAAGTCATGCTGGACCTGCTGCAGGTGTCCTACGATAAGGTGCGACTGATAACCGCCAAAATAAGAGTATCACAGCAGGTTCACGATGAATATCTATGAGTATCTTGACATTTTCCAGATACCGATAAGATTAATGGTTGGTGGCGTGTTTAGTCGTTTACACTATTATGTTCACTATTATGCCCCCCCCCCCACCACCACCACCTCCAATCTCTCTGTCGTTGTCTGTCTGTCTCTAGAATGATGTGAAGATGCAGGAGATCATTAGGAACACTCATCTGTTCCTGCAGAAGTTCTGTATGGGGAACCAGGAGAACCAGGCTCTGCTGCACAAGAACCTCAACCTCTTCCTCACCCCTGGGGTACACTGTTTTATAGTTGCTCCAGTTAATCAGCACAAGCTTAATGTTATTACTTTCCATCCTTCTGGTTTGGCAACAGTGTTCTTCTTGGAGAACAGTGGCTTCCTCCTTGCTTTCCTGACATCACACCATCTTGGTTCAGTGTTTGTTTGATGGAGGACTCATGAACGATGACATGAGCCAGTGCCAGAGAGCCATGTAGATCCTCAGACATCACCCTGGGGTTCTGGTGACCTCCTTGGACATTAAATTTGCCCTTGGTGTGATTTTATTTTAGCTGACCAGTAACACCAGTGTAAAATCACCTCCATTTGTCTGAGAGGGAAGTTAAAACTTGTCTTGTTCAGAAAATTGTTGGATGCAGTCCCCAGATTCTGGTATTGTAAAGACAGAGTTATTAGCAGCCCTACAGAGTAATGAAACTGTTCCTCCTCCACCTGTAGCTGTTGGAGGCGGAGACAGTGCAGCACATCTTCAGTAATAACTACCAGCTGTGCAGTGAGATCTCAGAGAGCGTCCTGCAGCACTTCATCCACTGTCTGGCCACGCACGGCCGCCACGTCCAGTACCTCAACTTCCTCCACACCATCATCAAGGCCGAGGGCAAGTACGTGAAGAAGTGTCAGGACATGATCATGACCGAGGTGAGGACGAGGACACGTGTCACTTTGCCAGAATGTTTCAATATGTCACTGTGTTGGTGTAGTAATGCGTTGTTGTATCTCTGTAGTTAACGAATGCAGGGGAGGATGTAGTCGTCTTCTACAATGATAAGACCTCTTTCAACACCATGTTGGAGCTGATGGCAGAGAGCAGGGAGGGAATCAGCGAGAGCAGCCCGCTCAGGTACCTGTGGCAGCCACGCCATGGAAACACACTAGCTTTATGGCAGCTTTGCCGGTTTACACTGAACGACAAAAAGCTGTTCTGTGTACATAGGTACTGGCATCCTGGTATTAGAGGTGTGATGTTTAACATGACGTCCAGCGCGACATACAACTCTGCATTTTACACACGTCAGAAATATGTGTCGTTGCTACCAAAGCAACAGTGATGGATGAACAGAGCAGGGATGTGTTTCTGCTCATCCCGCACATTGCCCGGTGCCCTGTACTCCCAAAGTAACCCCCACAAGATCCCACGAGGGACCCGGTTGTAAGCCTTCTCCAAGTCCGCAAAACATGTGTAGACTGGGTGGGCAAACTCCCAGGATCCCTCCAGTAACCGTACAAGAATAAAGAGTTGGTCCATTCTTCCACGATCTGGATGGAATCCGCATTGTTCCTCCTGAATCTGAGGTACGGCGATCAGTTGGAGCCTCCGTTCCAGCACCCTGGCGTAGGCTTTCCCAGGGAGGCTGAACAGTGTGATACCCCAGAGCACACTCTGAAGTCCCCAGTCTGCCAGTCCACAGGAAGATCCCACGAAGGACCTGGTAGTAGGCAGAAGTGCGTGGAAGAAAATGGTTTTTCTTTATATTAGAGCATATCTTACTTTATATTTACTTGTTACTGCCTTAGAAAGCAATATGGCAAGTTATTTTTATGAGTAGTAACATGTAATCCATTACCTTCAATAAGTAACTTCCCTTACCACCACACCGTCCTTCTTGAGGTGACGGGGCAGAATGCATCACGTCTGCCTGACAAACAGGCTCAGAGCTGCAGTAAATCTGGTCCTGGATCTGTTTAGGCCAGAGCAGCTCACATCTGTCTGAAATCCCTCAGTTTACTGATATATATCAAATACCTAAGTACACACTTCAGAAGTTATTGATATTGTCTTTATGCTCAGCTTTTCTGTCACTTCTACTGCTGCTTGTTAACACAAGCAGGCAGTTATTTTTCCAGGTTGTGGATGTAATCTGGGAAACGTTTGCTCCTCTCTGCAGGTATCACATCTCTCTGGTGGAGCTGCTGTCAGCCTGTGCAGAGGGGAAGAACGTCTACACGGAGATCAAATGCACCTCACTGCTGCCTCTGGAGGACGTGGTCCGGGTGGTGACACACGACGACTGCATCACCGAGGTACTGAGTGTGTGTGTGTGTGTGTGTGTCTCCATATTTTTATTTAGCTTTGCCCACACCTGCACTGACGGCTAGAGGACAAATGGTTTGAACTCACTCAGGTGTGTGGGTGTTCAGTAAAGTGGTGAACGCCTTGAGAATGTTCTATATGTTTACATACAGCTGACCCAAAGCATGATCTTCTTCTATGTCCTAAAACTAGAATTAAAGTGATGACACTACTGAGCAGAGTGTGTACACAGTGCGTATTTCTGCTGGATGTGAACCTTTCAGTAACCAGCATTAACGTCGACCAGACGCTTCCGATCCTTGAATGTTAAACCTGGAGTGTATTTTGTTAAGGGACCTCTCCTGGGGGAGGTACTACTACTGTTGAATTCTGTAACATTTTCCAGTCTGGTGAGGAACCACAAGTTTTGTCCTCAGGCGCTTCCTGTGATCGAGGTGTGCTACATTTCCACGAACCCATGCAGTGAAGCCCACACACCAATGGTGACGCTCACGCCTGAGTGTCGGTCAGTGGACTCATATTACATGAGGCTCACAGATGTTGGATCATTTTGCTCATTAAATGAATGAACAGAATTATGTTTGTTGTTGATTTGATTCTGGATCTAGGGTCTGGTCCTGGTTTCGGTCGGCTGTATGTAGAAATATAGGACATTTGAAAGGGTTGACCAACTGTCGAGCACCGCTGTGGGTCCACGTAAATGTTGTTAGAGATGCTGGTGGAAAGTAACTAAGTACATTTACTTAAGTACAATTTAGAGGTATGTGTACTTTACCTGAGTACTTCCATGTCCTGCTCCTTCATCCTGTGACTCCATGTCAGAGACAGACCGTGTACTTTTTACTACACTACATGTACCTGATAACTTCAGGTCCAGAATCAGATGAATCAAACCAAACCCAGTAGAACCATCAGACTCTATTGATCCCAGTAGGAAATCCACCAGCTACCCAGCAGGATGGAAAGTACTTCCCAGTATAAGTATATAAGGTAGTTACCATCAGCTCCACCTTTACCAGCTGCAGCATTAAAGTGATGGACACAGTAATTAGTCACTATGATCCAGTATCCAGAGATGTTACTGGAACATGGGTCGTTCTGCTGGACCAGTACTGGTACTGCTGGTAGATTTGGATGCTGATACTTTTGTGCTGTTAATTCAGTTAATTCAACATTTTGGTTGCAGGACTTGTAGTACTTTTACACTGTAGTATAGTTACTTTTGCCTGAGTGCTGGTAGAAAGTGCTGCAGGTCCAGTGTCACACTTAGAAGCCTCTTTGTTTGTCTGTGTCTCCAGGTGAAGATTGCCTATGTGAACTTTGTGAATCACTGCTATGTGGACACAGAGGTGGAGATGAAGGAAATCTACACGTCTAACCACATCTGGCATCTATTTGAAGACTTCACGGTGGACATGGCCCGGGTAACACCAGCGCTGTAGTGGTGATGATGGTTAGCTGCGGAGTGACTGGCCTGCTCACACATAGATTTTCTTCTGTTTTCACAATGTTTTCTTTTTCTGCAGGTTTGTAATAAACGCGAGCAGCGTCTTACTGATCCCGTCTTGGAGAAGTACATCATCAACGTGGTCTTCGACACCATCAAGTCCTTCTTCAGCTCCCCGTTCTCTGAGAACAGCACTTCCCTGCAGGTCAGGGGCGTGACACACTTCGCTGAAAAAACCCTTTGAACAGTCGCAGTGTTAATGTGGATTTATGTTTAAATGCATTTTTGTCAAAAGGCTATTAGTCACAGAAACTAAAGATTGTTTTAGTCTCATTTATGTCCTGTATTTTTAATGTTTATATCTTCTAAGCATTGTGACGCTCCAACTGTCTCCATCTTTATGTATGGTTACCATGGTTACAGGTGTTTATTAGTTCTGAAACTGAGACCAAATCCATGATACAGACGTCCACTGTCTCGTGTTGCGGTTCTGTCCACAACCTGCTGCAGGCGCAGTTTCTCATTACCGATGTAACAGAACTCAGTTTTCTTTCTGCAGTTAACACCAAAACATGTGTAAATCAAATCAAATTATTGTCTTATTTAAAGTTCGGGCAAGCTGTATATTTTGTTAATATTGCACATTACACCTATTGCATCGTCTCCTGACTGCGTGTGTCGCAGGACTGTCTTGGGCCGAACACTATCGAGTGCTCATGCCTGCAGTAAAGGTTTAATCAGCTGAAGATGGATCGTGGCCCTGAGACTGCAGAGCCCCAGTCAAGTCAGATAGTATGAAGTGAACTGTGGCTGTGTTTGTCTTCTTCTAATTCTCAGCGGCTTGTAGGTGAATTTAGTTCATAAGTCTGTTTCTCTGACATCAGCTGACAGAGACAGTGTTAGTGAATACCAGACCCTTCTGATTAACGGTGGTGCAACAGGTCAAGCAGCTACATGAGCGTCTGAACAGGAGGCATTTGGTTTCACAATCTGTGAGTCCATTCACGCCGCAGGCCGCTGGATAGCGCCCTGCATTGAGACGTCATTACTTTAATTGTCTTGGTGAACAAAAATGTGGAACATTTTGTCTTAGTTCTCGTTTTCAAAGTTTTAATGAAAAATGGGTTTTAGGTGAATATTTTTCATCATCGTTTTTGTCACATACGTTGCAACTGAATATCGTGAAAAACCCCCAAATCTAATCAGTTCCTCTGGGAATCCAAGTGCACGTTTGTGCCAGATTTGAAAAAGTCTCACAGTCACGTGAATTGGATGATGGACAGAAGGACAATCTGAAAACACGATGCCTCCGGCCAGGAAGTGCTGAGTACAGTACACAAGGAGTAAAATAAATAAATAGGTGTAAATACGTAAAATATGTAATATCAGGTATCGTTCACTTTATCATCTATTTTTCCAACAGCAATTTATTTGTATGTGTTCATGTCTTCATCTGCATATATTTGACAGTTTAGTTTGATTTCATTCACTTGATAATAAGTGTGTTTAGTTCAGGTCTGATTGTGTCGTCTCGCTCCGTCAGACTCATCACACCATCGTCACTCAGCTGCTCCAGTCCTCTGTCAGGTTGTTGGACTGTCCCTGGCTGCAGCAGCAGCACCGAGCACAGGTAGAGGCCTGCATCAAGACCCTCGCCAAGACAGGTAACGCACACACACCTGGCTCCACCCACAGGGACCGGGTCATTTCTGTCCACAGGCTGATGTCGGTCTCTCTCTGTGTTTAGCCAAGAGTCTCTCTATCTTGCTTCCTCTGGACCTGGAGGCTCAGCTCAGCTCCTTGTTGTCCAGCTCTGCTGTCAACTCTCTGTCCCGCTCCAACCCGAACTACAAATCCTCCATCCGCTCCTCCAGACCCATCGCTCCCAGCAACCCCTGGGACTACAAGAACATCATAGAGAAACTACAGGTACAGTAAACCAGTCCAGCTCAGGTTGAGACCAGCGGGTCGGGACACAATACGCTGTTTTATGTATGCATTTGGATCCTCACTGGCCACTACCCTTCCTGGGCTCTGCAAGTAAACATTACACCAAAATGCAGAGTCATTAAATAAAAGACAAAAGAAAGTCGAAGCAAAACAGAGACGGCTTGAGTGTGGTGCCCAGAGCAGGGAGCTGCACAAAGAGCGAGGAACGTGTTGGTAACGTCAGGAATCACATTTTAATACAGTCTTATCAAATGTTTCAGTTTAGAAACAGCCTAACCAGCACCTTTAAACAGCTCTATCACAAACCACCCAGTGCAGCAGTAACCGAGTGTCTGATGCCAACAGGACATCATCAACACTCTGGAGGAGCGTCTAAAGCCGCTGGTGAACGCCGAGCTGTCCGTGTTGGTGGACGTCCTCCATCAGCCCGAGCTGCTCTTCATGGAGGGAACCGAAGTCCGCCAGCGCTGTGAGTCCGGAGGATTCATCTCCAAGTAAGTTTTCTGCGTCCAGAGCCTGCTGCAGTGCTGACAGAGGGGTGACGGGAAACGTGTGTGTGTCTGTTTGTAGGTTGATCCAGCACACCAAAGCGCTGATATCTGCTGAGGAGAAGTTGTGCATCAAAGTGCTGAGGACACTGCAGGAGATGCTGATCAGGACGCTGGACTTGGACGACAAGGTCAGTTCAGCATGTTGCAAACAGAAGTCAGGGTCAGAGGAAGTGAGTCTCCGAGCAGCAGAGCGACTGTGACCTGTTACAGCTTTAAACACGTGTACAGTTATTTAATCATGCGTGTTAAATGTCTGTGTGAAAACACTTTGGTCGGCGCAGTGTCTACGTGCACTCTTCAGGTAAACCTGCCTTGACTTTCAGTAAGGCAGGTTTCAGCCGCAGCATAAGTGAAAACAGGTGCGTCTCTGTTCGGGGGTGAATGTATGGACGAGCTGTGAAGGTGAGATGAAAATGTGTCAAACGTTCAGTAGGTTCAAGAACATGGATAAAGATAATAAGAACGTAGTCTAACACGTCCTCCTTTATGGAAATGACATGGTTTTGTTTGCTTGCGTTTCACTTGGCTGTTGTTGTTTTGAGCACGTATCTTTATTTATAGGTTAACAGGTAAATGCAGAGTGGTGGCTGTGTTGATAAGCTTTGGCTTCAGCCTGCTCCGTTTCAGTTTAACGGTCTGTTCATGTAAGAATCAAAAGAAAGAGAGACAGAGTGTAAGAGCCTTGAACGTGTAATACTGCATCGCCCTGCTGAAACTTAAGGCCGTAGTTTGTGAACACACCGGAGACGAGTGGATGAAACTGAACCTTTGAAGCTTTTTCTACTCACATGAACCTAAAAGTGGGAAAGTCAGTGAGGGGCTGCGATGCTTCAGCCTGGCTTTACGAGCTGCCTTTAGTTTTACAAACCACCAGATGTCACTTGTTTTTTTTTTGTTGTCGTTGTTTGAGGCTCAGAAGCTCCGTCTGCCCCTTACTAACACAAACCTGACTATATAAACTGACTTAAAGACAGGAATCAAACGTTCAGTATGATTTTGTCAAAAAACAGACATATTTGTTCTTTTATAAGGTCAAATATAAATATACTTTTTTTAAAACAGTGGATTAAGCTCTTCTCGGATATCTACAGATGAATCCCGCTCGCTGTTTATGTAGTGTCACACACAGTCAGTGTAAGAATGTGACAAACCCTGAAAGATGTGAGCTGAAAACTCTTATATCAAGTGACTTTTTGATCTATGCCTTGGTTTTGTTTTTTTTCAGGGAATTGCGCTGCGGAAAGTTTTACTGCAGAACTACTTGTTTCCCAACAAGAAGAACAGCACAAAGAACGACCTGGCTGAGTTCGGAGCTGCAAGTATGCCCGCCGCCGACACCTTTACTGTTTCTACTTTGTGCTGCGTGTTTGACAGATGCCTCTTTAATCCCATTTCATTTTATCCCAGTTCTTTTATTCTGATTCATGGTCTTGTATTAATTCAGGATGTTTCCTCTTGAAACTTGTTTACTTTTTTGTGTTGCCTGTTTCTTTTTGCCTTGTCTCCTTGTTTGTTGCCTTTCAGTGCACAGGTGTGACTGTCTAATAACAAAAAGCAGGAAGAGAAACAGCATCTGATCACCAGTTTAGTTCAAAGTCATGGCAGGAAGCTGAAAACACTCAGCCGGAAATTGTGGGT